TATATGGATAATTTAGTTTGTTAATTGGTAGTGTGGATTGTGAGAAAGGACTGAAGTGTAAGTAATGGAGAGGAAACAGAGATAATAGGCGAGATTGATTATTTGAGTGGTCTGAGGAGATGGCAATGATAAAAACTAGCTGGTCTGAAGACATGCATCAGGCACGGCTTGTCTATGAGGGAGATGATAATCCGTATGTGAGTACGTGTTTATCAAATCTCCTCCTAAAGCTGTCCACTTAGGAGACTGTAGTCACCACGGCTTGGAGAGCATTCCAAGTTGCGACGACTCTCAGTGAGAAAAAGTGTACGCGAACCTGAGTACTCGCTGTTTGATGTGCGACTTTTCGAGGATTTCGTTGGGTGGAGTGGTGGTGATGCATCAATAAGATGCTCACGTTGGAATGGTTTGGCGTGCCTAATATGTTATGCTCACTAATCAGATCAGCTCTGAACCTCCCATAACTTGCGCTGATAGATTGGGTGAATGCTACTGATTATTCGGCATCAGTTTATGTGACTACGAAAAAACATTTCACAAATTAGGTATAATGAAACTATGGAGGCCTCTTTGATACTACGGTGTACCTGAGAATATAATCGATGAGATACGGAACTCTTATATTGGACTACATTACAGAATCATTCATGGATGGCAGTTGATAGTCTCACAACAAGTAAAAACCATTTTTCTTTCTACTGGCGGTTGACCGAATTATTGAGACCTCTACATCCGAGAGGAATCAAAGGATACAGAAGACAGCTAGACTATTTCAACTCTGCAGATGACCTAGCTCTTCTATTTCACACAGCGACAAATGAAAATCAGGAAGAACATAGTAGCAGCAGCCTTTGCAACAATAGGTCTCAACTAGTGACAAAATCGATCATCCGATACAACGTTACGTCAATCAACCAAATCACACCTGATGCAGAAGAAATGGGTGATGTGGAAATCTTTAAATCCCTGGACTGTATAATGATAAACAAGGTAGATCTGGTGCACATGTAAAGACAAGGATCAGAAACTCAGCGCTTCTTGAATTGAAGGTTTTCGGGAACTAAAAACAAATTCCAGTCTACGCTGAAGTTGCAATTTTCAACATGAACATCAGAACTGCTCAGTTTTATAAAGCAGAAACCAAAAGGACAGCACCATTTTACTAATTTCTTAACAGCAGCCACCTAAAAGAAATTCCAAATATTTGGAAATTATTCTGTTATGTTTGAGTAATTTGTGATTTTAAGTGAAGTATCACCATTTGCAATTCTTCGGTTCCATCTTAAATTTATTTTTCAACGGTTCACTACGTAGCCTCATTTTTACACGCGGACGAATTTAGAATTTGAAGTGGAACTCAGGGTCCCATAGATACCACTGCTATTTGAGAAATTTTGAAGTTTAAGAGTGGCGATTAGTTCTGGCACATTTAAATCATTAAGTTTGGCTTATTGCATTGAGTTTCGCTCTGCCTTGCGTTTGACACTTTATGATATACAACAAATAAACCTAAATTCATGCAGACATATGGACCGTGTTAGGTTTAGTGAAGATGTTCGGGGTATTTTAAGTAAGCGTCTAACCCAAATGGGATAGCACTATGACATTACAATATTTTTGTATGTTGATGTAGACATCAAAAGTTAGAAATGAAAATAGAAACAGGAAAATTTGAGATACTGGACATGTTTTATAGAACTTCAGTCAGAAACAAGATAAATGATTTATCCTATTTATGATGGTTTGCGGTCAAGAACTTAGTACATTACACTTGTAAATACGTAAAAGTGACAGCTTGAAGAACTAACAACCGTTAAAGCAGTGTTCATCTTAAATAGTTTAAGAGTGATGTTTCTGTGACATAAATATCGTACTAAGCCATACTTACTTACCATTAGATTACCCACCAAATCTAAATGCATGTGGGCGAAACAAGCGCAGCGATGTGAGAAAACTGTCAAAGCTGAAGCTGTATTAGGGGTAACGTGTGACTCAGAACATTCTCTATCCTACTTGTGTACATCATTCTGTAACATAGGCCGTATGTATCTAGTTTTATTTAAGTTTGTAGCAGTAGCTTTCGAGAAAGGATGAGATATGGTAATGGAAATCATTAAATATTAATTTTCATATATCGTCGGGTATGAACGACTGAAGCATCCCTTCGGGCATATCACAATAGATAAAACTACCTTCAATAAGTGATGGCTGCTGCTTAAACCTGAGAATAGAGTTTTATGTCGAAAGTGGACTTTTAGTTCTTGGTCCTCCCTCTGATTGCCTACTTAAGCTCCAAAATTTTCGAGATAATGCATTCATTGCCTGACTGTCTTGACCTATGAAAGGCTGACTGTCTCTGGTGAACTGTGAAATAAATCCAAGGTGCCGGATTTTTCGAGACCAATATTTATCCGCTTTAGCTTCTAGTGCATTAGTTAGTGGTGTGTGATCTGTAGAACAAATAAATGCCCACACTTTCAACTTGTGCTGGAAATGATTGATAGCCAGGTAGATTGAGAGTTTTCATTCGAAAGTAGAGCATATATTCTCTGACATAACGAGTCTTTTTGCAAATAATGCAGTCACTCATCAGGCGTTTCTAAACGCGGTGACATAAAAATCCTCTCTTCTGCTTTGTTTGAAGTGTCGAAGGCAAGTGAGAAATCGGTGTTCGGATTCGTTAACATAGATATCTGGGTTAGCTCATTTTTAAGCTGTTCGGTAGCTTTCAAGGCTTTAGAAATGAACTTATCATCTTTCATTTTTCCTATAATGGATTCTGTGAATAGTCGCAATAGTTGTGCGGAACCGGGTTCGGAAAAGCGTAAACGGTCATTAAACTTAGAAAACTTTCTTGATGCATTAAGGAATTTGGTATGGGGTATTACTCAATGATCACTTCATTTTACTGGAGTAGCTGTTTCCACGCTTATTGTACGTCAGAGAAATTCTGATGTCCGGTCTCCAGAACTACTTTGTGTATGTTCAGTACATTTTCGTTAGGCCTTTTTAAAACATCTATCACAGGTGATACTAAATCTGGACTGATACTTAGTGAATGGTCTATATTTCCTGGAGTAAAAGGCATTTCTCTTAACAGAGTACCTTTAAAACTTTGAAATGTTTTTGTCACGTTCCTCAGGTCGAATAGTATACGCAAGAACTTGAGCAGTCCGTAATGTGTATTAATAGCTTTCCCACTGATATCTTCTTTAGCTACTCAGATATTGTGAGATGTCGTGGTCAGATCAGTTTTAGTAAATACGATCATATTCCGTAATCCGCGCGTAATATTTTGGATATGAGGTATCTGGTACTTATCTGATAAGGCTTAATATTTAATATACCCGTACAGACGCCAGTCACCTTCAACTGACTTTAGGACCACTTGTTGAAGGGATGTGCATTCATTATCGGAGAGATGGGATATAGTGGTGGCACGTAGTCAAATCCAGCTCTCCCAGGTTCACCAAATACAGGTGCACCTTCAGTTCTAACTGTGTGGGTTATTTGCAGTTTACTTTTGTAAGGCTGAAGGTTTGATTTGATTATGTTTGGAAGTTCGGGGTGTATATCTTGGATTTCTGTAGTCGTAGCTGGTGGGGTTTGCATCAAATTTAGCTAAATTATGTGACGATTTTTTAATTCATGTATAAAAGATCGTTTTGTAGTCCCGACTAGAAACTGGCATCTCTCCATCCCCAGTATTTCCAGATCTAAATTAGCTACGGTGAAAAGCCGATTGCACTTACTCTCAAACCCCTCGATCTAGCGTCAACTTTTTTCTACCCAGATATAGCGACATGAGTCTTTTGGAAGCTAGAAGTGCAATTAAGGACATTTCGGTTTTGTTTTTTTTGGAATAATACTTAGTGTAGCATCTTTAACCACTAAAAGCCTTAAACCCGACCATCTGTCTCTAACATTTAATGAGCGATTGCTTAGGAATTCGTCCTCAGTCTCCAGGCTTAATGTCGATTACGAGCAATCAAGATCGAGATCAACAGAATAAGCTACGAGTCATATGTGGATAATTTCGGATACTTCACTTCTGTCTGAAGTTTTGGCTGATGAAAACTCCACAACCGAAACATTTAGCTCAGAGAACGAAACTCCATCACAACCATTCCACCTGACCTATAGATTTTCTCTACCATCTCGACCAGTAGTTCTTATGTTCCAGACCTTCATTCTGTATTGAATCTGAAATAATGTTATTTACGGCAGGTATGTCACTGGAGGAAAAGTAATTCCAAGCGGAATAATGTGCGATAGAAATGATAAATAAATCCACTTTCGATACACTTTGCTTGTTCTGAACTCCAGTACTGAATCCATTCACTCTCATATAGATTAACCAGAGGTGATTTAGCCAGGTTTTTGAAATTAAGTAATGATAAATTTGCATCTTGTATGCCCTCATTCTTTTTATCTTCCCGAAAAAGGACTTACGGGGCTACTTTAAACAGTTTTCGAAGCCCAGAACAAACGATTTGTCGACTCAGTACGAATCGTCTAAGAATGGAACTCGTCACATCCAAATATGATATTAGCCGATTCTGTTGACACGTACTAAGGAAAGTTATACCAACCGGAAGACCGCCATCATCAGAACAAAGAAAGGCTACTTAGCTACTTGTTCTTATGGAACCAAGACTGATACCATTTAGCCAAGCAGTTTCGATAAGGAGTATTACAACGATTATACCATTCGGTAACCAAGATACTTACCCATCTACTCAAATGCAGGTCCCAAAGAATAAATGCATCGTCATTTCTGCCAGTCGAACTTGCAATTGGACTATATAATTACTGAAATAAAAAAAACGTTATCACTTGTTCCAGATAGCTATGACCATAATCACAGCATGTTTCTGGAAAACAAACATAAGTCAGCAACCCAAAAGTTCTCTCAACAGATCATGAAAACATAATAATGTAACAGGTATGTACTAAGTTTGAATGTAGTAAACTGATTTTATAAGAGACCTTCACAAATGGCCCTAGATTGAGTTCTTATGTCAGATGGTTCCAATTTGTATCATTAGTTCTGGGAAACGGCAGACTTAGAGAGTTTTTCATTTCATAGTAATTTTATTGAGGGTTGATCTGGAGTTATGATTACGAGCTTCAGATAATGAACTGTGGAAATTACCTTTATTTTCTACTTATCATCTCATTATGCCATACTGTAATGAATCACTCACACTGTCGCCAGAACTCCTGTGAAACACCTGCAGTGGAGTATGTTGTTCGAGTCGATGGAACATTTTCAGATGCTAAGGCGGTCGCTCGACTTCATGACTTGGAGCTAGTTGATGAAGTATGTTCCATTAATTGATCATTTGCAAATTAGATGATTGGCTTTAAAGGAATGTACATAATGCACTCTAAAGCTAGCGGATTGAAAAGGCGCAAAAGACGGTCTGTGGTCTCCATAGATGGCCCAGGGGTATGACTTGTTTTGAGTTTATTCTCTTTAGGTCAAATGGTTTGCCAAACAAGAATTTCTTAAACGTACTAAGCGCTCCAATGGGCCGGCCGTATTCTGGAACGATCCGCTATATCCCGATATGTGGTACTTGGTAAGCTTTCTTGTATTTCCAAATCAAATAGAAAGCGGAAATTCTTTAGCTTGTTTTTAAACCCCTATCCCGATTGTGCGTAAGTAGTAAACTGATTATCCCGTGTGTTCTTAATCACACTTTCGGGTGATGTTCCAGTGATTTTAGACAGCATGGTTTTTTGTCGATCCCTTAAAAGTCCGGGGTAGAAAATTATTTGTCAATAGAAACAATTGAGATGAAACATTTCGAGTTGTCCTCTTGACACTATTATTTCTAGGGTAGAGTCAGTCTAAGGTACCAGTGATATCTGATCCAAGTCTGGTTCACGTATACCAACGTTGGTGAAGTGCTTATATCATTGTATCTAATGCACATATATTTCTTATATTCCTAACTGAAGCGTTCCCCTATTTCTACAGGACCCTTCGGCCTTATTCATTGACTGACTTTGGAATTCTTAAAGGGAATTTAATTTTTAAGTCCTGCTAGTGCAACCTTGTTGTTGGTGTTTCGACTACATTTATAAATCGAAGAAACTTTACGGCTACCTTCCTACACGCGAGAGTGCGTAAATCCAGTTGTTTCAAGTGGGCTTATAGTGTTCTACTAATAACAAATTTTACAGGTTAACACTAAGAGAAGGGATGTCTGTCTATATGAAAATAACCACTTACAATGCAGTCTCATAGACCTGTATTACTGGTGAATCAAAACGATATGTCTAGTTATTTTGTAAATGAAATTCCAAGTTTGTTAAACCCTCACTAAGGTACTCATTTTAATTTCGTCAATGATAGTGACAAATAAAAGCTTTTGTTTAGTTATGCACACCTTATAATTTAGTGTCTTGTTGGCCGTCAAAATGTCAAACTCATTAGTTCTCTAATTATTATCAGACAGTATGCATCTCCAGCTATTTAACAAAATTTATAAATGTTTATATCACGTGTTCTGTTTTAAGAAATTATTTAGAATTTCGTTACTGTTCCTCTTGTAGTGAAACTGTTTATCGAATAGCATTTAACATCACTTGGTAATCATGAATCATTTCTAAGGTTTCCTTATATTTCACTGTTGTAGTAATCTCACAGTCCTAAAACCTGAGAAATGTTACCACACCTTTCAGAAAGTATCCCGGATTCCTATTTAATGATTTTCATAATTAGCATCAAATTATTGTAGCAATATATCAAGATCTGAATTTCTTGATGTATTTTTAAATAATCTTGCCACCTTTAGACTGCAGATATTTTATGTCTTTATGACTCAGATACTAAGCACCGGTTTATGTTTTAGAAATATAGGCCAGATATTTTGTATGGTAGCTAAGAATACTACCAAATGTGTCAGATCAAAGTAGTGCAGAGGTTAGGTGTATGGTATTAATAGAGCATGTCGAATCGGTGTGAATCTTCATAAGTTAAGGTAGCTGGAACATGGATTATAATAGCCAGCCACCATTTATCTGGACATACGTTGCTGGTTGTTTCGCACTGGGTTGAAACAAACCTCAAGGGTGGCAGTCAATAATTGTTAGTCTAAAAAGTTTCAGTAGATGCGTACTTTTTGCTTTAAGTCTACATATTATTCATGGTTATTTTCTGATGTTAGATAAACTAATTCATAACGGGATCCACTGGCAAAGGGAAATTGATTTATTTTCCACCAGATCTGGGGTTCTAGCGTCGCTTTTATTATTTTTCTACTCTCTATGAAACATATTCTCTATATTCGTCATTTTTTCATTGATTTATATTCTAATATTGACTCTTCATACTCATCATATGAATTATATTCCGCCTTACTGATGTGGTGTTGCACATCTGTTTTAGGTCCAATATTGTGCATGACTTATTAGTTTGCTTCTCTTAAAGCTGTATCAGCTTTAATGAAACGGTCCTCAACTGGATGAAAACAGATGCAATGAGCTTTTTTAATATTTCTGAACTTACTTTGTCTAAGACGCTATTTATTACAATTTTTACTTTTGATATAATCGGAGGTAGTACAGTATGGCATTCAAAGGAAGTGTATATATTCAGATTAAGGTGTACTGTTAGTTTCCAAAGCTTCGTTGTATTTAAGAACCTCTAAAAGGGCAATTCAAAGTGTGACAGATGATAAGTCAGTTAATAAGGTTACCAATCGTTGCCTATCAAGTCGTTAAGCATTTTGCATGTATAAACTCATCGTTTAACTTGATATACGTGCTATAAATCAAGAACGATGTCAAGTATACTACCTGGAAACTCATACTAAAGTAAATAAGGGGTGGGTTTAAGTCTTTAATCCAGAGATTGAAAGCCATTTGGCCTAACCATTAAACCACCACTCTAACTGTTAACTGAGTTCATTTATTTTCTTTTCGTATTAGATATCCATCCTAACGTCATACTTCATTGGTACAGTAATAACATAGAAATGAAAGCACAATGTGATTTTTCGGCAGAAAACCATACATATCAAAGCACTTCAGTAACCAGTTTTTAAAACTAAAAGTGAAGGTATAAAAAACAGCTGGAACACTTGTCAGGTTCTACGTTGCGTAGAACTAACTGATTAGGCCGGAGCGGAGATAAACCAAACACTAACAAAATATTAGAAATACAATTGAACATAAGGATTTACTGTACCCACGTCACTATAATTAGTTGTAAATAGTATAATTTTAGCATAACAAGAAACCATTTTCTGATGTTGTTTACATCTCAACCGAAAATGTTCTAATTTTCTCATTCAGGTACTGAGTTACTAAGTTAAAATTGCATTGTAGTTAATGAATGTACATTTTCTTTGTGCCTGTTCATAAATTTTTATCTTCAGGTTACCTTCATATTTAATCTCAATGTTTTTTTAGTTAGAATTACTTTTCTATCCTGTTATAAGGATAAGGTTATTGATTTCTTGTAATGAAACATTGAAAGGAAGTCATTTAGTTAAGTAGTCTTCTATACAAATTAATGATATGCTTGGTAAATATCTATTTTTATTTCATTTCTGTAGAACAGAGCTAGTAGAGGTAAAGGTTACGACATGAATGTATTAGAAGCATGGGAGTTGGGCTATACTGGTAAAGGTATCAAAATCACTATCATGGACGATGGAATAGATTATACACATCCGGATCTGCTAGTAACTTATGTAAGATTTATTTTTGTATCAAATAATTATAATTTTTTTGTGTAGCTTGTGATTGTTTCCAGTGTCATTATTCTATGTTAGTGTAATTGATCCCTATTGGGACCCTAGTTTTTTACATGGATCCATTGTTATCGTCGTTTTTGTCGTAGTATAATAGTAAATATAGAACTTTCATCCAAGGTTTAGTAAATGGCTTTACTGAAGGATATACGCAAAAAACCTACTTCTCCAAAGCATTCAACATGTTTGGTTCTGATGACCAACATCCAAGTGATATTGGTTGGTTTACTTAATAAGTAGACATCGCGCAGACTTAACTAATTACTCTGAGATCCAAATTAGCGGATGTTCGGTTCATTTTTGAAAACCAAAATATTTGATAAAATCATACCATACTGTCAAGTCTCGAAAATGTTGCAAAGCATTTACTGAAGTTCATCATCGAAATATGTGCAGCTATCATCATTTATTAAAATACTCTCACTGAAGTCTAGAAATTTTTCGCAAAAATTAAACATGATAAACATTGACTAGTTATATCTTATTAAAAATGGAAACTGTAGGAAAATATTTTGTCAGATTACTTGATGCAGTACTAATAATGAGAATATATATGAATAGAAAATACTTGTGCTGAAGATAAAAATGAAAGTCGTTTCATGTTCTTCAAGTTTTCTCTTCGATTATGGACATTTCGTTACCAAACTTGAAGGTTGTGTCATCAGCATTAATGGCATAGATAAACCATTGCTAGTTGTACTGAATTCATCAACTTCGATTATGAAATGTCCACTACTATGTGTTAAGAATGAATATTCAAACAGTTCTCAGTATTCGCCGGTCTTTAGTTTGTTCTTATGAATATTAGCCACTTTCTAAAGGAAACTCATTTTTGTCAAGGATTTGTAGACCCTAAAGAGATTACTACGGATATACTGTTTCGTACATAAGAAATAACTTACTTTATTAGTTTTCGATACTAATCAGGATCTGTCAGCTAGTTTTTGGTGTTGGTTGAACGATCTGTGTCAGATATCTTTGCCAAGTAGGTCTACTCACATCGACATTTTGATCTCAATACTGATATATGGATATAGCGCTACTATCGTTTTAGCTCAGTTGATTCGGTAAATTAAGGTCATTACTGAGTCAACCAAATTAGTAGTTTGTTTACGAAACCAACTCACGAATTCAGATAAAATAGATTTGAGCAGATAAAACCAGTGATCGAATTTCTGAATATATTATTTGAAATTAAAATTTCATTCGTACATAAAGTATTTAACCGAGATTGATAGAGCATGGAAGAAGTAATCATGAAGCAATCAATAACCTTCCCTTTTCATTCATCATATCAGTTATTGTAGTTAAAGTTCAAATGTCTCTCTGTTTGTGTCCAGCGTAAAATGCCATTCTTCAGTCCTGTGCTATGATAGATTAATAAAAATACCACACTTGTGTACAGCTGCTTAGACTTGATTTCCGTTATTTGAATGATAAGTCATTGTACCACATCTTGATGATTTCTCATTGTAGCAGTCTCACTAACATACAAGTATCTTTCCGGAACTTCCTAAACACATTTAAATTGTATCACCTAGTGTAAAGTCAGACTGAAATCAGCCTTTACTAAATTTCTATGTGTATATAATGGCAAATTAGCAAACAAACATTTTATGACTGTTGCATTATTTTCAGTAAATAAACTATATTTTTTTCTAACCATTGTTTTCATATTTCAAATTGTGCAGAATTGCTTTTAATTGTCTTTTATTTATCATTTTTCTGTTTACTGGTTTTAACAAATAAGCTGTACAAAATCAATAAACAAACCTGCATACTGTCTAAATTGTGAGATTTTTTGTTAGAAAAATATTATTGTCGTTATTTCAGAATAACACTGATAATGATGATATCCAGAGCTTACTCATATAATGTAAAAACTAGCTTTTACAGACACTAAAAAATAGGTAAATAGGCAATATTAATAAACAATGGATGGAAGTCAGTTAGCTTTTACCAAACAATATGTGGCTGACTAACTAACTAGGTAACTGATAATGATAAATCTAACAAGTAAACAATGCAAACACGGTATGACTTATAGTTAGATACTTTATATGCACTGAAGAAATAGAGAGAGAGAGAGAGAGAGAGAGAAGACAATAGTAAGAACGACACCATTTTAAGAAAATGAGACAATGCTGGTGGTGGTGATGAAGACAGTAAAAGTTTTTGAATAATGAAACAGAAATCTGACAAGTATATTGAACTGACATTGTTTTACAAGAAGAAGAGAAAAAATAACCCAATGGAACAAATTTATTTACGCACTTATGTCTGTCCATTGGCATAATTAAAATATGATGAAAGCAATCAGTTTGCATTGACTGTTTTAATCTTGATGCATGTAATTTTGTCTATGCAGCTACATAATGTTAATAATAATGTTTCCTACAAACATAACACATGGCTTTAAAAATTTAAGACATCATACAAAACTTGTTTGCTGAGTTTTTGACCATCTTAAACATTCTAAGGAATAATAAAGAGTGTAACAAATTAACATTCGAGGTTGTAACTGTGAATGAATTGAAGTATAATATGTATGGGTTTATTTTGATCTTATCCGAAGTAGTGAATATGTAACTACTCAATGCTTTAATTCTTTTTTTTTAAAAGTTGTTTTGAATCTTTTCACCGATGTAAAGGATTGCAATTGATCAATCTTTTATGGTATAGGTGGATTCCGTTCAGTTTTAGTTTTTAACATCAATGACAAGATTCTAAGCAACCCTTAGGAATGAATTGAAATTCACTTTTGTTTCACAGGCCACTAGCTTTCTGGACTCAGTAGCTTAACGGACAACAAGTTAGGCGTTTGAAGCGGGAGGCACTGGGTTCTAGTTCAGGTGTGAAAAACTGTTACGCCTGCACGTAAACACGTTATTATGATATGCTTGAACTATTACGGGTTTACCTAGTCGGAAAACGAGAGGATCCGGCAACACGACGTGCTACTCTAATCCGATTATCCCACCCCCCATATTGAGTGAAAATAAGAAGACGTGATATAAAGTAGAATCTGTATTCTATAAGCATCCAGAAATTACGAGGTCCGAATCCAGAAGAGAATCGGGATCCTGGACTAGGGATCTAGGACCGGGTCCTGGTCTTGGTCATAAAACGTTACAGATAATACGTATTTATGCATTTTGGTCGAATAGGAAACAGCATCGAAGTCTGTGACATTGACAGTTAAGACGACCAGTAGGAAACAACATTTGAAGTGACATTGATAGTCAGGACAACCAATAAGAAACAACATTGGAGTACATGACATTGATATCTAGGACGACCATAAAATTGACCAGTAGGAATTATTCAATAGGAATTGACCAATAATTCTCTCAGGATGTTGGATGAATATCCTAACAACAACATCCAGCTGATGAGTCCCACATAAGACGAAATTCATGTTTTGTATTTCAATGCTAGACGCTGTTTACATCCAACTATCCGATTTTTTTTATATTCAATACTACTTAAGCTTAGTGTCTCCTTCATTTGAATTAGTTATATGAATTTTGCCATCAGTGTTTGTGGGTTGCCTCAATGTTTTCATTAATTCACGAGCATTATAAACAGAGACAGATGGTGGTTAGCAGGGAGATTCAAGGCACCCGTTTTGTCTTATTTGGGACTCGTCAGCAGTATATACTTTCTTATTGTCTCATTTCATATATTTCTCATCATTACTGTTGTTTGGACATGTTAATTTCAGCTCCTATTATTCTTTTTTATAATACTTACTAAGTTGCCTTTATTTGGGAATATAATGTAGTGTCCAACAATTGCTTTAGTATGACTTCTTTGTAGAATCGATATTACTGAGTGGATTGATATAATAATGGTTAACACATTATACTATGCGATATGAATAAACGTTGAATACCTCGCTGTGAAGAACCATTAATTTTTTTGTTTAAAATAGAGCCACTGATTTAACAAGGGTTTACTTTTCTCACTCACTATATGACTGCTTTGTTCACGTACCTCTTAAAAGCAGTTATAAAAGGCTCTTAGTTAAACACTTTCTTTCCATGCAGTTGGTTCCCATACGAATTTAAATAAAGCTAGGATAACAATCGAGGTTGCATAAGATGAATTCATTATATTTCGTGGTATATCATTAGTTGTTTACAAGCATGTATGTAATAAAGTGTTAAAACAAGGTATGATATGATGTGAAGCAAATATGAATCATTTCAAGCTCCTATACTCCCTATCAACATAACTGATGGAAGGTATCAAGCTGCAGAGCAACAAAATTAAAATAGTAGTTATAATAATGATCCAAAACGGGACCAGACATGTGTCTTGAAAGCAACGAATAAATTCGAGGACTGAGGAACATGGAATAATACTGAGGCCAAATTTTAGTAGAAAATCAGGAATTTGAAGTTATTTTACTCATGGTTCGCAACTATACATTACAGTTTTCTTTTAAACTACAATCAGAATTATGCACTGATTAGCACAATTGAAGATGGTTTATTCTGCCTTTGAAGACTATAACGCAGATCAATGAGCATCTCATTCAAAGATTTAGCTATTAAGATTAAGTATGATAGATGGTAATCAAATGTTTTAAATAATTAGTTCCTTGTAAAAATTTTGATAGAACAATGCGTTGATCTGATCAACTACATCTTCACATTATTCTATCAAAATCCCATTTAATACTTGTAGAATTCTATCGTTTAAAATATACTGACGAAACTATGTAACTCAGTGTTGTGGTTTATTTTGTAATGATGATCAGTGATTCAATTTTTAATGGTTTAATATTTTGAATAAGCAATTAGTACTCCTAAGTACTTGATGGTTTTTTTTATGGAATGAGTTCATACACATATTAAAGCGAATGAGTTTATTTATCGTTTTATTTAATTCCTTACCTCTACAGGATCCTAAAGCCAGTACGGACATCAATGGTCGTGATAATGATCCTATGCCAAATATACGGAATCGTGATAACAAGTAGGTTTTTTTCTCTACAAAATGGTATTTCATTTTACATTACATGACTATTGATTGTTTGATTTTCTGCATGTCTATATTCTTATATTTCTTCACAAATGTTTCAGTAAGGTAAAAGAAATGTACTTTAAAAATTTGACGAATTTACAATGTGTTATCATTACCTTCTATCATCTCTTTGGGGTTACAGAAAATTTTTAATACTGGATAAGTTGTGAGAAGAACAACCCAGAAAGAATATGACATTGTACATTCATTTAGTTTCATGAGTCAGAGTATCATTAAATAAGTGCTAGAATATCGTTTAACTCACCGGTGGTACTAAGCTAGTGATGCGGTGAATTTCAGGAATTCGTAATGAAAAGCCGTGACTGGTCGT